CTTTGCATCAACTCTTGAGTGACTTTTCATAACAGTTGAGCTGTGAGGCTCCACATGGCCGGTACCTGCTCACTTGGAGTTTCATCTCCCAGCAGCCTGCCGCTAGTCTCACTGTATAGGCTTTCAACACTGCAGACATCCCTGGCTCTGCCTGTGCTGCTCCGCCCCACTCTGTGGTTAGCAGTTTCTCACATTCACAACTAACCTTAAGCATCACCCAAGCTGATGTTTCTCCAACTCCTTAGCAAAGCATCCTGCCTCCTTCCGTTACAATGCTTCATCATATTTTAGCTGTTTATATTTATTTCTGCTTTCTCCATTAGCCTGTCATCTGCTCAGTATCAGAATTACACCTTTGTCCACCCCTTCCCACAGTACCTTCAAAACCCCACACCCTCAATATATGTGCTAGGTGGTTGAACAGTGTTGCTCAGTGAGGGGGGCGATTGCGTTCTTCAGGGGACTTGACAATTCCCATAGACGTTTTTTATTGTGACGACTTGGTGGCAGTGCTGGTATGTTATTAACATCCTGTAGAAAATTAAAATTCCCATAAATGTCCTAAAACACAAAACAGCCTTCCAAACAAAGACTTTTCTGATCCAAATTGTCAGTACAGCAAGGAATTTGTGGTATAGATCCATGAGAAGCACTTACCACATTAACATAGCTTATATCTTCTTGTACTTCTCCACTCGACTCTTGAGTTCCTTAGACCTTTACCATTGTCCTCATCACCTGGGATTTGTAAAATAGACACTTAGGGAATTCTTGATTGTGGCTAAAGAGAGGAGCAAATGAATGCACAAACTAGCCATGGTAAAACTAGCCTGTCTTTTGGTATTAAATAGAAAAAGTAGCTGTTAGACTTTGCATAGACCATAACATCTGTTATATACAAATTGCAGGCCTAGGAGATTGTGGAAAGAGCATGCATGAGACCTTTATTTCAAGTATGCATTCTGTTCAGGTGATAACTAAATTGTAACAAAAGAATCAACACATTTAAAACGACAAAGAACAAGATGGAAGTGGTTCAAGGAATTAAGGTGTTAACTTCTACCTTTGCAGTTCTGGGGTGATGTCTAGGCATGCTAATTGTTTCTTCTCTGTGAATTGATTCGGGGGAGCTCAAGTTGTCAAGTCAAACTTCATGCCTAGACTGGGCTGCCATTTCTCTGTTGTACTGTATAGATAGGAGCAAGAAAGAGAAAAAGCGGGCTGGAGAGATGGCTCAGAGGTTAAGAGCACTGACTGCTCTTCCAAAGGTCCTGAGTTCAATTCCCGGCAACCACATGGTGGTTCACAGCCACCTTGAATGAGATCTGGTGCCCTCTTCTGGCCTGCAGATCACATGCAGGCAGAAGACTATACTTAATAAATAAATTAAAAAAAAAAAAGAAAGAGAAAAAGCTGAAGCCACTGTCTTAGATACTAATCCTGCATTGGCAGAAGCTCAGTGGCATTGTCTCTGAATAGCTGGCAAAAGGTGTACAGTCAAGCAGCCATGGGTTACTGCTGCTCTGCTGCTACCTAGGAGAGGGCAGATGGATTCACTGGTGGGCAGCTCTCTATGTCTACCTCAATGCCTAGTGATGAAACCGTGGGTGAGCATGAATATGAATCTTTATCTGTTTTAGTCTCTGGATTCCAGTTGGTTTTAGTTCCTTATTATAGACAACTTACCAAAGACAGGATGCTTATTTGTAACAGTGCCTAACAGGTGATTTGTGATAAGGGTTGGGGGCTTTATTGTGTTCATTTTCTCCTAAATGCTGGAGCATAGTACTTTTATGAAACACAGTCAAAATTAACCACTAAAAGAAATAACCATATTCTTAGTTGTCCCAGCAACATTAACCTACTGTGAAGATTGCTAAGTTGAACACTCTCAACTTTTTTTGTTTGTTTTTTTGAGACAAGGTTTCCCTGTGTAGCTTTGGAGGCTGTCCTGGAACTAGTAGACCAGGCTGGTCTTGAACTCACAGAGATCCTTCTGCCTCTGCCTCCCGAGTGCTGGGATTAAAGGCATGCACCACCACCACCCAGCTTGAACACTCTCAGTTTTTGTATCTGTCTCAGTTTCTGTCCTCGTCTCTCTGTGGTCTAGTAACAGACTGTGAATGGGCAGTTACCTACAGACATGGTTTTAGAGGTGTTTTCTGAAAGCCTATTTTGGGATCACATGTAGACTGATGTCATGTTTTTTAAACAAAGGTGTTTTCTTTATGTTTAAAACTTGAAATTTGCTTTTAAAATAGTTTTAGAAGACACATCCTGGGAGTGTACAGATAATAAGAGATCATTTGAGTGCTCATGTTTGCTTCATAGCTTGTCTTGCTTGTTTCACAGCTGAAGCCAAAGCTGACCTTAGTTCTACAGATGCATAAGAAAACTCTGCCATTCCCAAGCTGGGAATCCACTGAATTTTCTGGATCAGCTGCATTTCATGTTAAAGTTGCAGTGACAGCAGGATTCAGTGTGTCCATTTAAAGTGATGTATATGAAGGCCTGCAGAGATGGCTCAGCAATCAAAAGTGCTGTCCTTCTAGAGGACCCAAGTTCAGTTCTTAGTACCCACATGGATCACTGTCTGTGCAAGTCGTGTGTGTGTGTGTGTGTGTGTGTGTGTGTGTGTGTGTGTGTAACCAAGATTGTTGTTGGTGTCTTCTTAGTCACTTTTCCTCTCAGTTATTGAGGCAGGGTCTCTCATTTGAATTCACAGCTCACCAGTACAACTAGTTCAGATAACCAGGTTGGTTCAGCAGTCCCATTTCTGCCTCTTGTCCCTGGAATCCAGGCAGGCTACCATACCCTCCCAGCATGCACATTGAGTCTAGGGTTCCAAGCATGCTTGCATTACAAGCACTTGTATAATAGAGCTAACTACCTTTTCACTATTACTTTTCAAAGACAGTAGAAAACTGTCACGAGAAATGACATGGTTGGGAGAAGTGAGGATTGGCAACTGCTGAAGAACAAAAACCCATGTCTTTAGATGCTGGGTGCCTGTGCAAGCTTTTAGGTATAAAGTGTAAACTCTGTAGGCATCTCTGACTTCTCGCCCTTTTTTCATAGGCCTCAGTCTCCCAGTCCTTTTGTTTTGTTTTGTTTTTTTGTAGCCTGGGCTATTATAGTTTACCTTCATGCTGTCTTCCTTCTTGTGTCTGAAGAAGAAAGGAATTGTGTAGATTTTTGTTGTTTTCATTTTGGGATTAGAAGGTAAAGATATCTATGTACTATACCATAGTCACATGTTATATTTCATATTTATTTAATCCCATATTTTCTTTTTTATTATGTGTATGGGTGTTTTGTTGGTGTGTATGCCTGTACCATGTGCATGCAATACCTTTGGAAGCCATAAGATGGCGTTGTATCCCTGGAAATGAGTTACTTTCAGTTTTAAGCCTTCATGTGGTTACTGGGAATCAAAGTCAGGGCCTCTGGAAGAGCACCCAGTGCTCTTAATGGCTGAGCCATCTCTCTAGTCCTGTATTCTAGGTTTCTTATGCAGAAAGATAGATCATTTCTTTCTTGGAAAAAATTGTGTGGTGGTAAAGATTGTTTGATTTTACTCCAGGATCGTACCATGTGTGAAATAGCATGCACAATGTGTGTGTTTGTTTTCAATTTGACAGATCTGAAATGGAAGAATTTCCCTGCTCTATATAATTTCAATGACTGCCATACTTACACTAGTTCTAGATAACACTCATTTAAAATACTACTTTAGTAGTGATGTTAAGACTTTAAAAGAAAGCCTTGTACCAGATGAGACAGGTATAGTTGACATGGATGTAGACCAGATGAGACAGGTAGAGTTGACATGGGTATGGGATTTTTTTTTTTTTCACCATGCCAAGTAAAGCTCCTTCTTACCTTTATTTGGAAGGCATTTACATTAGAATTAGTATTTCTATTAGTTGTGTGAATAGCATGTATCAGGAAATGGTACATGAGTCTTGGCAAAACCATGTTTGACCCCTGGTAGCTTCTTTTTGAAGAGTTAAGGTCTAATGATAGGTTAATAGAACCATTATGTTAAAAATCTTATTGGGGCTTGAGAGATGGCTTAGCATTTAAGAGCACTACTAGAGGGCCTGGGTTCAATTCTCCAGCTTCACAACTTGTTGAGCAGCTTCACAACTTGTCTGTAACTCCAGTTTTAGGGGACCCAAACCTATGGCAAAACACTAATGCACATAAAATAAAATTTAAAAAACATAAAAATCTTATTGGCTGTGTCTGTTATTTTTTTAAGTGGAATATAGAAATGTCTTAATAGAATGATAACAGTTGCTTGGTCTCTATATATGAGATTAAGTTTGAGAGACACAGACATGGCAGTTTAGGAAGAAAACTTAACATTGAATTTTGAGGCAGTGTCACTAAATTTGGCAGTACAGATACTTTTGAAACACAAGATAAGTGCTGGAGAGAGAGCTCAGCTATCAAGAACACTTGCTGCTCTTCCAGAGGACCCAGGTTTGGTCCCAGCACCCACGTCTGGCGACTCACAACTGCCTGTAACAGCTCCAAGGGAGCCAGCGTCCTCCTCTTGCCTCCATGGGCACCCACACACAGCTGTGGATCAGTTCTCCAGCTTTAGTCCTGATTCCCCTTAGCTTCAATGCTATGCATCTTAAAGCCCTGTTAAGATTAAAGCTTATGGAAAATACTTCAGTATAAAATATGTGGTTTTAAGAGAAAAAAAAAAAAGTGGACCAAGAAGGCAGTGACTATATCCTCCAGCTCTTCCTGTGCCACTGATCATTGCCCAGTGCAAGTTCCTCACCCTCTCTGGCCTTCAGTTTCCATGTCTGTAGAAGTGAAGTATGTGTACCAAATGGAAGCTGTTGTCTGGTTCTGATTTTTTTGTGATTTATATAAAAATTAAAATCCTCTCATAGCCATATCTTTAGGCTTCACTGGTAGAAAACATTGTTTGAAATAACTTCAGCCAAATAATGATTTTTCGTCTTTGTTCTTGTTTTCAGAGACTCTGTGAAGGCATATTCAAAGTTCTTGTAAAGGACGTCCCAACAACATGCCAAGTGTCCTGCCTGGAGGTACTCCGCATCCTCTCCAGAGACAAAAAGATTTTAGTTCCGGTAACGACTAAGGAGAATATGCAAATACTGCTGAAACTAGCCAAGCTGCATGAGTCAGATGATTCTTTGGAGAAGGTGTCAGAGTTCCCGGTTATTGTAGAATCGTTAAAGTGTCTGTGTAACATTGTGTTCAACAGTCAGATGGCCCAGCAGCTCAGCCTGGAACTGAATCTTGCTGCAAAGCTCTGTAACCTCCTGAGAAAGTGCAAGGACCGAAAATTTATCAATGACATAAAGTGCTTTGACTTGCGCTTGCTCTTCCTCTTGTCACTTTTGCACACTGACATCAGGTCACAATTGCGCTATGAGCTCCAGGGACTCCCGCTGCTCACCCAGATCTTGGAAAGTGCCTTTAGCATCAAGTGGACCGATGAGTACGAGTCGGCCATAGACCATAATGGACCCCCACTTTCACCTCAGGAGACAGACTGTGCCATTGAGGCCCTCAAAGCTCTCTTCAATGTGACGGTAGACAGCTGGAAGGTGCATAAAGAGGTAAGCTTGGGAAGAATACACACATTTACCTGGAATTAAGTGACTGGGTTGCTACACCCAAAAGAGGAATGCTAAGTTGGAAAATGGAAAACATCCCAGTTCCTTCATTAGTTTTCTAAACTGCAAGGTATTTTTTTTATTAGTTCAAATTAGAAACAAGGCTGTTTCATGTGTCAATCCCTTCTCCCTCTCCCTCCCCTGCCCTCCAGCCTCCCCACTCCCCACCCCATCCCCCCTCTGCTCCCCAGGGTACGGCCCTCTATGGGGGTTCCCCAAAGTTAGTCATATCATCCTGGGCAGGGCCTAGGCCCTCCTCCATGTGTCCAGGCTGAGAGAGCATCATGTGGGATGGGCTCCCAAAGTCCAGGGATAAGTATTGATCCACTACCAGGGGTCCCATGGAGTGCCGAGGTCTCCTCACTGAAGCCCATGTTCCTGGGATCTGGATCAGTCCCATGCTGGCATCCCAGCTATCAGTCTAGGGACCAAGAGCTCCTCGTTCAGGTCAGCTGTTTCTGTGGGTTTCACCAGCCTGGTCTCAACCTCTTTGCTCTTCACTACTCCCTCTCTGCAACTGGGTTCTAGAGTTCAGTTCAGTGTTTAGCTGTGGGTAAGTTGTATTCTTTCAGTGGCTGGAGAGATAGCTCAGCAGTTAAGAGCACTAGCTGCTCTTCCAAAGGACCAGGCCCTGTTCCCAGCACCCACATGGTGACTCACAACCACTGTAACTCCAGTTCCAGGGGATTTGATGCTCTCTTCTGGTTTCTGTGGCTAGCAGGCATGCATAAAATAAAATTAAGAGTAAGGTAAAGAAGGACTGCCTACCATTTTGTAGGATGGTGGGTAGAGTATTCTGAGTTGTATAATCGTTACAGTCTCTGAGGTGTTGTTTTGTAGTGCTGTGAAGCCCTAAGAGGTCTGAAACCAGCCAGATATTTATGGATACATATGGCCCTAGGAAATGGGCTAATCACACCATACAGGGGACAATGTTGTTTTAGACCACTCACTTATTTCTAGACTAAGAGATTTCTCTGCAGCCTGGACCTTCCAACAACCCCAAGTGAGGTGGATTTGATAGTTTATATTTGAGTTCCTACAAGAAAAATGTGCTAAACATGAAATTTAGTTTGAGGAAGCCCACAGTTAAGTGGACATTATCATTCAGCAAGAATACTACCATTTCACATTTTCTTTTTCATAATCTTTAAAAAACCAGGGCAGTTCAGCTCCTGCCTTTGAGGTTAACATTTTGCCCTGTCTATTTGAAGTAATTCTCACCCATGTTTTTGCCAGCAGCCTACTGGAGAAGGATTATCTCAGCGCAGCTATAGTGGGAGCACACAGGCATCTGAGTTGTACAGCGCAAATAGGTCTGTATTCTGAAACCAAATATTTGAAGATCAGTGCTAACAGCTGTTTCAGATGACTGCAGTATAGTCAGCTTTCCTGAGACTTGGCAGGGAAGATGTGCAAAGCCCACATGCTCCATTTATGCTTTGAAACCAAATATTTGGAAGTATTTAAAATGTTATGTCTTGGCTTATATGCTACCTTCTGTGGTTATTTTTCTTACACTGTTTGTTTTGGTGTTTTTAAGAGCTCCATTTAGTTGTAAAAGTGCCTCAGAGACTGTTGGTTTGCTGTTATTACAATATTCTGTTTGGATGCCTAGCAAGATGGCTCCTACCTTAGAGGCTGCTACGCAGTATCTGGGGGGCGGGGTGGGCACATGCTTTGAGATCAGCTTTCTGTAGTGTTTCAGCTTAGTGACAGTGGGACTGGGGAGCTCTAGAAATGGTGAAGAAGCAGAGCCTCATTCTGTGTTCCAGAAAACTCGTTCTCTGAGACTCTCTCCATAAAGGGTCAGTGGTTTATCTGTGTGAGCCATGGGACAGTTAATGCAGCTTTTATGAAGTATGTATCACAAATGTGACACTAGGCCAATACTGAAGTTTTCAGAAATATAAACAGTACTGAAAGTAGGATCTTTAACAACCTATTTATAAAAGAATGTCTTAATGTGGCTCTGTATTCAACAGTCGCTCAACAGATGTTTATAAACAATTACTAGACATTGTCCCAGGCATTGTAGAATGTACTGGCAAATGCTAAGCATTGTCTTGCCTTCATGAAACTTTAGTTTTGTAGGTAGAAACAGGTAATAAGTCAGCAAATAGTTGTATTTAGTGCTAGGTGAGGAAAGTGCCAGGATGACGATGCTGGGGAATTAGCCGCCTGCAGAATGCAGGGACAGAAGTTTCCTAGAGTTAAGCACCATTTACAAGACACAGAACCCCTTTTTTCTGGGGCACTCACAACTCAGCTCCAGTACAGAGAGACTGGGTGGGAGAGCCCACTTCCCTGGAATCCAGTGTCTTCTGTTTTTATTAGACCAAGGATATTTACTTCAATTAAGTGAGCCATTGGAACGGTTAATGCTTTTAATGCCAAACAAACAAACAAACAAAGGCAATATGAAAAAGCTACTGAAGAATCCACTTTTAAAATAAATAGTATTTTTCTTCTTAGGAAAATAATGTAGATGCAGAGGCTATATAAGAAAAAGCCGCTGGGCAGTGGTGGCGCACGCCTTTAATCCCAGCATTTGGGAGGCAGAAGCAGGTGGATCTCTGTGAGTTCAAGACCAACCTGGTCTACAAGAGCTAGTTTCAGGTCAGCCTCCAAAGGCACAGAGAAACCCTGTCTCGAAAAACCAAAAAAAAAAAAAAAAAAAAAGAAAGAAAGAAAGAAAGAAAGAAAAAGAAAAAGCCACATAAGGGACAAAAAATGCAAACTACCTGTAAACTCATCAATTAGAAGACAAGCCCTGCTTGCACTTTGCAGTCATTCTTCATTACACATTCTGAATAGAAAAAAACATCTTCACAAAATGCAGTCATTTTATAGTCTGCACCTCTTCCTACACTGCTTTTGAAGGGCAGTGGTCTTCAGGCTAAGGGTATGACTCAAGAACACCTCCTAGCATTTGTGAGCTCCAGATTTGAGTCTCAAATTTACCAGAATAAACCATTTTTAAGAATAAATCTTTCCAAATGTGTTCTTTCTGACAGAGAGGTCCCTAGGAGTAGCCTCTGGGGGTGAGACTCCTAGGCTCCTCATTTCTACACTGAAAAGAGAAATTTTAAAAAGAAAAAAGGAGGCTTTAAAATATTATAAACCTTTGGGAAAAGTAGCTATTGCTGTTGTCTCTTTAAACTTGTATTGTAACTAAGATTTTGTTTGGAGATTAAAAGGTTCTGCAGCTATGTCAAACTTGGTGACTACTTTTACTCAGAAATACCTAAGATTGATGAATCTTAGGAAAGAATACTTGTGAGTTTAAAAACATGTGTGAGTATAAATAATACTGATGAGTATAAATATAAAAATAGAAGTATTTATATTTGTCAATTTTTAACAAACATGCTTTCTCATTTAAACATGAATATAATGAATTTTCTTGTGAAGTCTTCATTCCTGAAATTGATGGGCCAAAGGATTTCAAAAGTTTAAGTTTTTGTTGTTGTTGTTGTTTTTGTTTTAAAATATGTATTCCTTGAGTGAGTCTATCTACATTCTTTTAAACCCTAGGCATCTGACTAAAGATTTTTTTGTTTTTGTTTTTCGAATCAGGTTTCTCTATGTAGCTTGGACCAGGCGGGCCTTGAACTCACACAGATCCACCTGCCTCTGCCTCCTGAGTGCTTCAATTAAAGGCGTGTGCCACCACTGCCCACTGACCTTAAACATTTCTTAAGGACCTTATCACCCATGTCCTTTACCATACAAATCAGATTTCAGTATGGGTGTGAGGGGGACTTTTCAAACCATAAAAACGCTGTTTGTTATAGTGTTTGATATTTTTTCTACATGCTGTATACTTGAAAATTAAGAACCACTTTAACCATGCGTAATGGAACCAATGCCATATAGTCTAGGTCTGTGGGCTTTTTCACAGACATGGGCTAGCTAAGTCAGCCTGTGGATGAAAATGTACGAGAAAAATATTTTTGTGAATAAAGTGGAATCTTCTACAGTTTGCATGAGAGTGAAAAGTGGTAGTAAATAATAGACTCCAATTAAGGAGTGACCACTATGTAAAGATCTCAAAGAGTTTCCTCTGTTTTTAATCTCACTGTCACCTGTCACCACTCCAGCCCACTTGTCTCACTCTCCTCCCTTGTCTTTGTTCTAGGGACTTTCCTTCTTGTCTTCCTTGGAATGTAGTGTTATTTCAGAGGAGAGATAAAAATACCCATGCCCTAAAGACAGCAAATCTGAGTCAGAAAGCCAGTAAATAAGACCTGTGTGCTGGTGATATATGTGAAATATGAATGTTAGCTCTGCTGAAGATCAGAGAGCTGAAATTACTTGGGGAAATTCACGCAATGGTAACCAGCAGTAGGAAATCGTGCCCATTTTAGACTTTTTCCTAAAGAATTTTTTAAAAATTTATACATGTATGTGTGTGCCTATGTGAATTTATACACACCACATACATGCAAGTACTCACAGAGGCTAGAGAGCATCTGATCTCCTGGAACTGGAGTTCCTGTGGCTGTAAGTGACCCAACATAAGTTCTGGTCACTGACCCTGGATCCTCTGTGAGAGCATTAAGCACTTTGAACCAGCAAGCCATCTCTTAAGCCCCTAAGCTTATTTTATGTTTTTGAGACAGGGTCTCACTGTGTAGCCCTCGCTGGCCTGAAACTCACTGTGCAACCAGGCTATCCTCCTGTCTTTGCCTCCCAAGTTCTGGGATTAAAGATGTGTACTATGACATCCAACACTAAATTTTATTTTTAAAATTTACTAGTGTGTGTGTGTGTGTGTGTGTGTGTGTGTGTGTGTGTGTGTGATGGGGGTGTTGCACACATTATACCATACATATAACAGATCAGAGGACAACTTTGTAGAATTGGTTATCCATCTACCTTACTTCAAAGATAAAACCTAGATTATCAGGTTTGCATGACATTTTTTACATGCTGAGCCA